GGCTACTGCGCGCAGTGATCTTGGGGGCGCCGGGCTCCGGCAAGGGCACCGTGTCGTCGCGCATTACCCAACACTTCGAGCTGAAGCACCTCTCCAGCGGGGATCTGCTCAGAGGCAACATCCTTCAAGGCACAGGTGGGAGCCCGGGCGGGAGGGGCGCGGTGCGCTGTGGCCGGATTGGAGTTTGGGGGGGATGCGCGTCCGGGAGATGCGGGTCCAGGGATGCGGGCGCAGCATCTGCTTCCCACTGGCCGCTCCCCGAAGCCTCCGACCTCCGTGGACAGCTGCAGGCGGCTGTCGCGGAAGGAACTACGAAGTGAGGACCCATCAAAGTTCAAAGGAAACCCTTTGGCTTTGAGAGGCACGTCCAGCCCCGGTCGCAGCTGCTCCTAAGAGTCCAGCGAACTGGGGCTTATTCTCAACGTGCCCTTGCGCCTAAAAAGTTTTTCTTTCCTCCCTTCCTTCCTTCCTTCCTTTCCTTCCTTTCCTTCCTTTCCTTCCTTTCCTTCCTTTTCTTCCTCTCCTTCCTTTCCTTCCTTCTCTCTCCTCTTCTTTCCTTTCTTTTTTCTTTCTTTTCTATTTCTTGGTTAACTCTATGGGATTTTCTGGTTCTGACCTTTGCCCCATAATCTGAAGGCAGAGCACTGTTTGCCCTCATTGCAGTCACACAATTGGCGTAGATCTTGGATACCTCCAGAGATTTCTTAGGCACAAAAGCTATTCTTGTGAGTGGTTATCTGAAAGATTGTTTTGTTCTCATGCCAAATAAGTTTTTATAACTCAGCATGAAATCCAGTAAAAAACTGTACACTTTACAATGGGTCGATTTTATGTAAATTATATCTTAAGAAGGCTGTTGTCCAAAAGTCAACATCAGGGTGAAGTGGGGGGTTCCCCCCCCCTCAAAAGTGCTGATCTTTATTTTCCAAAGTAAAACTCATTTTGGAGCTCATTAAAAAAAAATAATTACCGCCCTAGCTGGTTTGGCTAAGTGGATAGAGCGTGGGCCTTCGGACTGAAAGGTCCTGGGTTCGATTCCAGTCAAGGGCACATGCCTGGGTGGCGGGCTCCATCCCCAGTAGGGGGTGTGCAGGAAGCAGCCAATCAATGATTCTCTCTCATCATTGATGTTTCTATCTCTCTCTCCCTCTTCCCTCCTCTCTGAAATCAATAAAAATATATTTAAAAAAATTAAAAATTACAGAAGTAATGCCTGCACAAGGTTAAAAAAGGGGGGGGGAGGAGTTGGAGTGGGGGAGATTGGAAACAGGACGGAAGTACATAAAAGAAAGTAAAGCTCTTTCTTATGACCCACCTCAGTCCCATTCTTCCTAGGGGAACAGTATCCTGTGTTTTCTTTTAGACATTTTTATGCAAGCCTTATTTTATATATATATATATGCCTTATTTTATGTAAAATGAAATCATATTATATATGTATTCTGCACCAGTGTGTTTTCATTTTATATCTGGATTATCTTTCCACACGACAACATTGACATCTCTTTCATTCTTTCAATTCTTCTATAAGTATTTGCTGACTCTACTATAATTTATTTAATGGATCCCCTATTGATGAACATGTAGATTATTTCTAAGTGGGGTTTGCTTGTTTCAAAATACTGACATTTAAATGAAGAAAACAACCACCCCAGTGTTTTTAGTTTGTGTCTTGGAGTTCAGTTCAGCTGGTGAATTACTACTTTTATTTTTCTCTTCTTAACATTGATCTTTTTAAAAAAAGATCATGAAGTATTTTGTAGTTAATTCTACTTCTTCCAAAGTTTAAATTGCTTGGCTCCCTCCCTGAGTGTTCTTGATGCAACATTTTTTTTTAAAATATATATTTTATTGATTTTTTTACAGAGAGGAAGGGAGAGGGATAGAGAGTTAGAAACATTGATGGGAGAGAAACATCGGTCAGCTGCCTCCTGCACACCTCCCACTGGGGATGTGCCCGCACCCAAGGTACATGCCCTTGACTGGAATCGAACCTGGGACCTTTCAGTCCGCAGGCCGACGCTCTATCCACTGAGCCAAACCAGTACGGCTTGATGCAACATTTTGAAGTAGTTAGGTAACAATAAGCAGTCTCCTGTACTGCACCCAGTTGGAAAGGAGTAAAGAGAATCCTTAAGCAACTCTGAAAAATAAGCCAACATTGACGCATAACTATGTGGTTAAAGAACATCTTCAGTGGAGTTAAGGATATGTTAACTAGTGAAAGCACAAAATGTTAAAAGAAATAAATTTAAAGCAAATAAGTAAACTTCTTTAAAATTCAGAAACAATGTTGTTTATCCTTAACATTCCTGACACGCCTCCTGTCCTCTTTCATGTCCACAACATGAAAAGAGAGGGGAGGGAGGAGAGGATCACTAGGAAAGATGTTATGCTTACCTCAGGCATCTGTTTTCTCTGGAGTCTTTTCAGGGAATTCTTTAACAAGGAAAACAGAAAATGGAGTTTAGGGAGGTGTCATGAGATTATTATTATTACAGGTGTTTTGTTTCTCAGCACTAAATATTTGTGAATGGATTGGATATTTCCCAGAAACAAACGAGAGATGTTATCATTTATTTAAAAAAAATACTGCTTTAGCCTGGCCAGTGTGGCTCAGCGATTGGGCATCAACCTATGGACCAGGAGGTCATGGTTCGATTCTCGGTCAGGACATATGCCCAGGTGTGGGCTCCATCCCCAGTGGGAGAGTGGGGGTGCTGGAGGCAGCCAATCAATGATTCTCTCTCATCATTGATGTCTCTCTCTCTCTCTCCCTCTTCCTTCCTCTCTGAAATCAATTTTAAAAAAAGATTATAAAAAAAATACTGCTTTGCCATGGCTGTTATCGCTCAGTAGGTTGAGTGCCAGGTGCCATGCACTGCGAGGTCACTGGTTTGATTCTTTAAAGTAGCTCAGCCTTTTAATTTAATAAGCCATCATGTTCATGAAATTAAAGGTTTGTTGTACTAGTTATTTTTCAAATAGACTTTGAAATGAAATTTTTATTGGTTTTTAAATTTGAACTTTATTTTTAGTTGAGATAATATTTTGTCTACCTAAAATTATCCCATGAATCTCAACTTGGTAAATGCTGCATGGGAAGTGTCATTTAATTGGCACTCAGGAGACTGGGTGTTCACCTTTGTCCCCCAGTGACTGCTGTTTTTTTATTGAGCAAGTTCTTTTACCTCTGCTGAACTCAGTTCCCTCATCTTTAAAGGAGACGGCAGACTAATAATGTCCAAGGGTCAAACTTCAGTTTCCTGACTCCAGGTACAGCTCTAAGCTACTCCAGGTTTGCTGCCCTCAGCAGGTTGCATTGTGTTTCCAGGACTTATTCACATCTGCTGGGATGATTTTAAACTTCAGCTATAAAATACAGCCATGGGTTATAAAATACTTTCATGAAATGGTGTTTGGAGAGTAAGTTGGCGCCATCCTTCTATGTAGCACTATTTGATGGTACCATAGTTACAGAAATTCCGCACTAGGGAATTTATTTGAAGGACATAAGCAGAGATGCTGCCAAATGTTCATCTACAAGGATGGTCATTGCAGTATTTATTATAGTAAAGAATGGTTAACAACACAAATGTCTGATAACAGGTAAATGTTTAAATTAATAATTGTGCAATCATTTTTTGTTTTCTTGTTAATCCTCACCTGAGGATATTTTTCCATTGATTTTTAGAGAGAGTGTAAGAGAGGGAGGGAGTGGGACAGAGAAAGAAAAAGAGAGAGAGGTGGGAGAGACACATTGATTGGTTGCCTTCACTGGTGATCAAACCTGCAACCCAGGTACACGCCCTTGACTGGAAATTGAACCCTTCAGTGCACAGGCTAACACTTTAACCACTGAGCCACACCGGCTAGGGCAATAATTTTGCAATTTTGATGAAACTAAATATTTTAAAGATTGTTTAATATGGCCCTACCCAGTGTGGTTCAGTGGATAGAGTGTCTGCCTGCACACTGAAGAGTCCCAGGTTTGATTCCTGTCAAGAGCACATGCCCGGGTTGTGGGCTCGTTCCCCAGTGGGGGCCATGTAGGAGGCAGCCGATCAATGATTCTCTCATCATTGATGTTTCTATCTCTCTCTCCCTCTCCCTTCCTCTCTGAAATCAATAAAAATAAATTTAACAAGAGAGATTGTTTAATGATGTGTGAACATGCTCACAATGAGTGAGGAAAAAAGGTATCTAAGCAATAATTTAGAATATAACATAATTGCAAATACATAAATGCAGCAAAGAAGAGAAGAATATAAGAAAAATCAGCAAAGGGTTCATTACAATTGTTTCCAGTGATAAAAATACAGAGGATTTTAATTTTCTTTTAGAACATTTTCATTATCCCCAAAAGAAACCTCATACCCATTAGCAGTGACTCCCATTCCCACCTCACCCCACCCAGTCTGTGCCACTGGCAACACTAATGTACTTTGTGTCTCAGTTTTCTTACTTGAACATTTCATGCACATGGCATCATACAATATGTAGTCTTTCATGTCTGGGATTTTTCACTTACCATGTTTCCCAGGCTCACTGTGTGTAATATGTATTGATACTTAATTCCTTTTTATTGCTGAATAATATTCCATTGAATGGATTTACTACATTTTGTTTATCCTTTGATTTATGGACATCTGGATTGTTTCACCCTTTTCTGTTATTTTGTGGGTGTACTAAAGTTTGTTTAAATAGTTTAAAGAGCGTTTTAAAAAGATGAACCTGATGATAAATATCATCTCAAAGAAAGTAGGCTTTTGCTAGATTTCTTTTTAAACAAAATAAGTTAGGCCTCTTAAAATCCCATTGCTGGAATCCACAGGAATCAAGGCAGCTCATTTCTCCATCTATCCATCCGTGGATCCATCAAGTACCTAATGTATGCTAGGTGCTGGAGATACAGAGACAAGTATATGTCCCTTCAAGCATGTCAAACTCACAACCCGCCGACCACGAGTTTGACATGCTTGGGTATGCGCACAATTGGAATGTAGGCGTGGAAGACAAGTGGCCATGTGTGTTAGTCTTCTCAGTTTGCCATAAGAGAATACTATAGATGAGATGGCTTAAGCAACAGAAATGTATTTCCTTATAGTTCTGGAGGTTAGGAGTCCAAGATCAAAGTGCTGACAGGGTTAGTTTCCGGTGTAGCCTTTCTTCATGGCTTGCAAAAGGCTGCCTTCTCACTGTGTCCTCATGTGACTTTTCCTCTTTTGCATTTGTTCTTGGTGTCTCTTCCTCTTCTTATAAAGACATCAGTCAGATTGGATTAAAGCCCCACATTGAGGAACTCATTTAACCTTCATTATCTCCTTAAAGGCCCCCTCTAAATACAGCTACATTGGGAGGTAGGGCTTCAACATATGGATTGAGAGGGGCACAATTTGATCGATAATAATACGTAAACAGCTAGTTTTCACTAGTGTGATGGTGCTCCAATGGAGACAAGTCTGCCACATGGAAGTCCAAAGAAGGAACTTCCTGTTGCCTACAAGGTTGAAGGTTCACACTGAAAGTCCCTTTAAGATGTATCTTGAAGGATGAGAAGAGCTTATCAGGCAGCAGAGAGGAGACAGAGGCATATGCAGAGGCTAGGAGGACCCGGGGTATGTGGAGCTCCTTGCTAGGGGCATGGCTTGTGTGTTTGGTGGACACGGTGGGGAGGGAGGTGGGGGAGAGAGATGATCAAGCCAGACCAGGGCCTTCATACAGTTCTTGAGTTGCATTTCTATCCTGAAGCAGAGTGGGAAGGGGAGGAATATAGAACTAGGTGCTTCCCTGAAGGAGAAAGATTGGGTGATGGTTGGAGGGAGGACCAGTGGTCAAGGGGATGGGAGCTCTCTCTAGGTGCTTCCCTGAAGGAGAGAGATTGGGTGATGGTTGGAGGGAGGACCAGTGGTCAAGAGAGGTTTTTATTTTCAATATAATCTAGTGAAATATCCCATGCATGAAGGTATTACAATTGTTTATGTATGGTTAGAAGAATAAAATGAATGCCCATGTCTCCCAGGCAGAAAAACAGTACTTTTGGGGCCACCCACTCTAATTCCACAATGATATCTCCTTCCTCTCCCCAGAGGGAACCGCTGTGTTGACTTGAGTCTTTATTATTTGAGAAAGGTTTGTATAAAAAGCCTTTGACTGGGTGTAAACCTATCAGTTGTCTCATTCTCTGTCATTCTGATAGATTTTTTTTCCTTTTGACATGTTTTTTTTTATTTTTAATATATATTTTTATTGATTTCAGAGAGGAAGGGAGAGGGAGCGATAGAAACATCAATGACGAGAGAGAATCATTGATTGGCTGCTTCCTGCATGCCCCCTACTGGGGATGGAGCCCACAACCTAGGCATATGCCCTTGACTGGAATGGAACCTGGGACCTTTTAGCCCACAGGCCGACGCTCTATCCACTGAACCAAACCGTCTAGGGCTCTTTTGACATGTTTTAAAATGAACTTTTATGTACTTCGCTAAAAGTAATTTTGGCAGGAACTAGGTTAATTCTCTGTAGCCCTTGGCACATGTAAAAAGCAACTGTTATTCACAGGTTGGCCAGGCCCTCTTTTGTTCTTCATAGCTGACCAAACAGATTGTCTATTTATTTTATTTATTTATTTTTCCAAACAAATTCAGATTTGAGGTGTGGTTGGTTTGGATAATGTTATAAGAATGACCAAACTTTAAAAGGAGATGTAGAATTAAAAATGGCTTTTTATATAATGCTAACACTTATCTCTCAGACTGATGTCTGTATGTTTTAGAATTCCTGATTATTATCCTTAAAATCAAAAGTTGGTTTTAACCTTCCCTATTTTCCTCTAGCCTTCCTTTTCTGTTTTTATTTGTGTATACTTTTTGTAGAAAATTAGTTTATTTTGGATAATCAACTTTTAAAGAGAGTGGAAGGGAGGGGGAGAGACACAGAGAGGGAAACACCGATGTGAGAGAGATGTTTGCCTCCTGCACGCTCCCCAACCAGTGGAGCCTGACCAAGGTACGTGCCCTTGACCGGAATCGAACCCGGGACCCTTCAGTCCACAGGCCAACACTCCATCCACTGAGCCAAACCGGGTAGGGCTCAAATTTGTTAATTTTTGAATCCAAAAAGAAATAGTATTTTTATGAGGAGTCTGTTCAGATACAATATTAAATAATAGGAAATCAAGGGAATATATGTAACCAATTGTTCAAAGAATATGCTCGACAAGATTCCTTGCATTTAATTTTGGGAGGGGGTAAAAATTTAAAATATAATAAACTTGGACTTTGACACAGGGAGTTGAATAATTTTTTTCTTTTAAATAAACTCTAATGGGAGCATTACAGGCTTTAGATTTTAATAACTATTGTACACAAATGTTTATTGATATAGAGAGTTGTTAGTAATAAATGAAAAAGACTATTAGACTATGCATGGGACTATTTTTTCACAAAACAAAATATTTAGAGGTTTTTATATTATTAGTTTTAACAATAATTATCTCTGAGTAGTGGTGAAATTACGAATGGCTTTTTGTTTTGCTTACCGAGCATTTTTCATCCTTCATTTAAAAAAAAAAAAAAACAACCTACACGTTATTGATATAATTCACATACAGTAAAGTTAACCCTCTTAAAATATATGGTTCAGTGTTTCATATTACATTCAGAGTTGTGCAACCATCACCACAAGCAATTTTAGAACATTTTTACCACCTTAAAAAGAAAATCTATTCCCATTAGCAGTCATTCTGCATTTTTCTCTAATGCTCCCAGCCCTAGGCAACCACTAATCTTCCTTCTGTTTCATAGATTTGGCTATTGTGACCATTTCATATAAATGGAATGATACAATATGTGTCTTTTGTGTCACTTAGCATGTTTTCAAAGTTCACACACTTTATAACATGTATCAGTACTTCACATCTTTTTATGGCTGAATAATAAAATTTTGTATGGATATGCCACATTTTACTTATCCATTCATTGCTTGATGGACATTTGGTTGTTTCCACTTTTGGCTATTGTGAATAGTGTTGCTATGAACATTCATAGATAAGTTTTGTGTGGACACGTGTTTTTATTTCTCTTGTATATATACCTGGTAGTGGAATTACTAGGTCATAAGGTAACTGTTTAACCTTTTGAAAAACTGCCATACTATTTTCCAAATTGGCTACACCATTTATAATTCTACCAGCAATATATGAGGGTTTCAATTTCTCAACATTCTTGCCAACACTTTTTATTTATCTTTCTGATTATAGCCGTTCTAGTGAGTGTGAAGTGGTATCTCATTGTGGTTATCATTTGTTATTTCCCTAATGATTAATGATGTTGAGCATTTATTAATGTGCTTATTGGCTATTTATATATCTACTTGTTGTATTCATATCCTTTGCCCATTTTTAAAAGTGGGTTCTCCTTTTATTGTTGAGTTGTAAGTTTTTAAAAAAAATATATTTTATTGATTTTTTACAGAGAGGAAGGGAGAGGGATAGAGAGTTAGAAACATCGATGAGAGAGAAACACCGATCAGCTGCCTCCTGCACACTCCCTACTGGGGATGTGCCCGCAACCAAAGTACATGCCCTTGACCAGAATCGAACCTGGGACCCTTGAGTCTGCAGGCTGATGCTCTATCCACTGAGCCAAACCAGTTAGGGCAAGAATTCTTTAAAAAAAAAAATATTTTCATTGATTTCGGAGAGGAAGGGCGAGGGAGAAAGATAGAAACATCAATGATGAGAGAGAATCATGGATCAGCTGCCTCCTGCACGCCCTGTACTGGGGATCAAGTCCGCAACCCTGGCATGTGCCCTTGACTGGAATGGAACCCGGGACCCTTCAGTCTGCAAGCCAGTGCTCTATCCACTGAGCCAAATCGGCTAGGGCAGTGGTCGGCAAACCAC